CCCTCCCTCCCTCCCTCCCTCTTTCTTTCCCTCCCTCCCTCTCCTTCCTTCCTTCCTAATTCTGCCCTTTTACCATTTCCCGTTCTAGGCTCTTCCAAGCACTCTCTCTGTTATTCCTACCTGCAAGTGTCAGAGCCCAGCCAGGGGCTACCTCAGTTTCTCTCCATGGTCCACCTGGACAACCAGCCCATCGCTCGCTATGACAGCCTCACGAGGGAGATGGAGCCTTTGGTGCCTTGGATGGAAGGGGTGGAGGTGAAGAACTTTCTGGAGCCTGACTGGGTGTTCAGGGCTGACCTGGAGAGTGTGCAGAATGAAGGTGAGCAGGTGGATTCTTCCCTTCAGCCGTGAATATTCACTCTCAATTCTCGCCTTCTACAGCCTGTCACTTCCACTATCATCCAAAGAAACAAGTTCCCGGAGGTCATGGAATGAAAGCAGAACAAGAACACCCCCCCAAACACACAAACACACCCCACAAAGATGGAGCAAACAACTACCGTATGAAACCACCCACACATACATTGCAAGAATCATATCCAAGTGCCAGGATTTCTTTGTCTCTTTTGATCTTCAGGGATGCAAAGAGTGATGAGATTTTTTTTTCTTGGGTGGGGGAGAGAGAGAGAGAGAGAGAACTTCATTCTCCCCCCTCCATTTTAAAGGGCACTTCTGTCTCTATTTATTTGTGAAACAGATTTGTAGCTCCTGATAGTAAAATTCGTGTCTTCATCTAGATTGAAACTCCTAGTGAGGAGGGGGCTGGAAGGGAGCACATGGGGGGGGGGGAAGAACTCCCACCCTTTCCAACCTCACTGAGGTTCTTCTTCAGGGCTTCACACCTGGCAGGCAATTTTGGGCTGTGAACTCAGGGAAGATGGGAGCCGAGAAGGCTATTTCCACTACGGCTACGATGGGATGGACTTCATCAGTTTCGACAAGGAGACCCTCAGATGGGTGGCAGCTCAGCCCCAGGCCGAGAAGATCAAGGAGAAGTGGGAGGATGATCCAAGATGGTCCCAGGGAAATAAAGTCTACCTGGAAGAGAACTGCACTGAGTGGCTGCAGAGATACCTGTCTTATGGGAAGAAGGCTCTGCAGAGATCAGGTGAGTCCATTGGAGAAGGAAACCTCTAGGCTGGGTTTTTGAGGATGCAGGTGGGGGGTCCTGTTTTGGGGAAAAGCCATCCTTGTGTTTCACCTTGCCTCCCAGAAAGCTCTAGCATGTCTAAATTTTGAAGCCTACTAAACGTTCAGGAGAGAAGCAGGTCTAGTCATAGTACGACATTCCTGCTCTGAAATCTTGTTTCTTGTTTTTTGCAGAGCATCCAGTGGGGAAGGTGACCCACAAGACCGCCAGTGACAACGTGGAGGTCCTCATCTGCCAGGCCTTTGGCTTCTACCCCAAGGAGATCCAGGCCACCTGGATGAGGGACAGAGAGGTCTGCCAGTACGAGACCCTCCATAGGAACGTGGCCCCCAACTCAGATGGGACCTACTATGTCTGGCTCAGCATTGATATCGACCCCAAGGAGAAGGACCACTACTGGTGCCGTGTGATGCCTGCTGACTTACAGGAGCCCCTGGTCTTGGCCTGGAAGGAAGAGCCTGATGAGAAACTGCAACATCCAGGTAAGTAGAGAGGAATGTTGGAAAGAATGAATTAAAAAAATCTGCTGGACCATCTCAGATCTTGTGATGCAGAAAAGGAACCATCCCTATGTCCTTCTCGCTGGAGCCTTCTGCTGAGATGATGATAATGGCAGAGCTTCTCTGAGAGATGCAGGGTGGACCCTCCCACCAACTATAAGGCCCCTTCCATAAAGAGTATTATGAACATGAGCTATAAAGGGAGGGAAATCCCAGACAGACCATTTTCTACTTTCGGGGAAGAATCCTCCTTCATCTAGGTTGCTTCTCTCTTTGTTCAGTTTCCATCCGTTGCTTCTTGTCCTGCCTTCAGGCGCTTTGGAGGATAGCTTGACTTCCTCTTCTTTGTGGCAGCCCCTGAGATATCGGAACACTGCTGTCATGTCCCCCCTCGTCCTTTTCTTCGTTAAACTAGACATGCCCAATTCCAGCAACTGTTCCTTATATGCTTTACCCTCCAGTCCCCTAATCCTCTTTGTTGCTCTTCTCTGTACTCTTTCTAGAGTCTCAACATCTTTTTTACATCACGGTGACCAAAACTGGATGCAGTATTCCAGGTGTGGCCTTACCAAGGCATTGTAAAGTGGTATTAACACTTCACGTGATCTTGATTCTATCCCTCTGTTAATGCAGCCTAGCACTGTGTTGGCTTTTTTGGCAGCTGCAGCACACTGCTGGCTCATATTTAAGTGATTGTCCACTAGGACTCCGAGATCCCTCTCACAGTTACTACTATTGAGCAAGGTACCCCCTATATTGTACCTGTACATTTGGTTTTTCTTGCCTAAATGTAGAGCCTTACTTTTTTCACCATTGAATTTCATTTTGTTAGATAGTGCCCAGTGTTCAAGTCTGTCCAGATCCTCCTGTATCTCAGTGGATTTAATTTAGAGTAGAGACATTAAGATGCCGTGAAAAAAAGTGATCTTGGTCTGGAATGAGGAAGATGATGAGATACAGAGAGGCTGAAGCAAATGCAAGGGGAATTTTCACCATGCTGGAAAAGTTAAAAAGAGAAGGGCTGCACTGTCTCTTCACACTCTTGAAGTGCAGAACTCACTTGTAATCCTGCATTTAGTTTTTTGCAGAGTTAGAAGGAGGAGAGGGTAGAAAGTGTGTTTTGACAGGAAAGGAGAAAGTGAGACCTTGATAGCAAGTGAGAAAAGTCTTGGCGAAAAATTAAACAGAAACACTATGGAGATTCTCAGTCATCCAGATCATGGTTGTCTCAAAGGTGCTTTTTCAGGAGGCAACTGGACTTTCTTCTCTTTGAAGACGTTTCACTTCTCATCCAAGAAGCTTCTTCAGCTCTGACTGGATGGTGGGGAATGGAAGGATTTATACTCCTTGCAGCCAGCTGGTCATTTGCATTTTTTAGAGGAGACATGTCAAACTCGCAACGTCACGTGACGTCGCGCAATGTATCGGAGCTTTTTCGTCATTGCCGGCAATGGGGTGGGCATGGCTCCGGTATGATGAAACCAGCCTGTGGGCCGGCAGTTTGACACCCCTGTTTTAGAGAGTCGTTGAGGCCACCTGGAGGCTTATCTGTGTCCTCAGGATCACCTGAGGGGTAGAAATGGGTGTGGAGCCTTTTTGAACTGCTGAAAGGACTGTGTTGTAGACTGGAGACAGGCCACCCTTTCAAAGACAGCAAAGTCCACATTTTGGAAAGAGAGGACCGCTGGTTTGAAAGAGGGGTCAAAGAGGCCATCTGTGTCAAAACTGAACAGCCCTGTCTCAACAGAGGGGGAGGGATACGACATCATTTTATCCTCTGTCTACTACAACACAGTCCTTTCAGCAGCTCCAAGAAGGCTCCCCGCCCATTTGCACTACACAGGTGACCCTAAGGACACAATTAAACCTCCAAGTGGCCTCAATGACTCTAAAAAGAATGCAAACAACCAGCTGTCTGCAAGGAGTATAAATCCTTCCATTCCCCACCCTCCAGTCAGAGCTGAAGAAGCTTCTTGGATGAGAAGCAAAATGTCTTCAAAGAGAAACAAGAAAGTCCAGTTGCCTCGTGAAAAAGCACCTTGGGGATAAGCAGAAACACTGTTGTTGTTTTTTACTTCTCATGCCTCAGGGGAAGCTCCAGAGGGCATCACTCAGGAACCTTTATCAATCAAAACCACCCTTTCTCTGAAGAAAGGATGGACCTGGGAGGGCAGGGATGTCCTCCAAATGAAGTCCCACCACAGTGGGGCCCAGCAAGTGGGGAGATGGTTCCTCTGCTCAATGCCTCCTAGTAGGGGATGCAACATCTGTGCAGGAGGCTTTGGAGAGCACCAAGCTCTCAGTATCTCATCCTCTTCCCCATTCCAGGCCAGGGTATCTTAATGTCTCTACTCTAAATTAAGTCCACGGAGCTCAATCAAGATATCTGGCAAGAATTATGGGTACGAAATAGGAAGCTTACTTTGGCCACCTCCTACAAAGAAAACCTCTACAAAATGTTCTACAGATGGCATCTCCCGCCCACAAGATTAGCTAAAATGAGTCCAAATATTTCTTCCACGTGCTGGAAATGTAAATTGGCAAGAGGGACATATTACCACATGTGGGGGGAGTGCTCAAAAGCCCGTGACTTTTGGAACAAGGTTAAAAACTGGCTGGAAGAAATACTAATGATAGAGCTAAAACCAGAACTCTTCCTACTAGGCATAACTACGCAGAAATACGACAAAGGAATATTGTACTTGATGCTACATATTCTCACGGCTGCTAGATTGGCGTATGCACAAAACTGGAGGAATAAAGAAATTCCAACAGAAAAAGAGATTTTATATAAAATCTTATCATGTGCTGGTATGGATAGGCTCACAATGGAAATGAAGGACAAGACAGAGTCAGATTACTTTGAAATCTGGGACAAATTCTATTGTTGGTGTGAATCAAGGAGAACTGTTCGGGTTTTAAGTTAGTGTTAAGATAGAGATATATAAAACTGTCAGTATATAGAGAAACAAATTAGAGGCTGTATATATAGAGATTAAGAATTATATGTATGATGAGGAACAAATTGTTAGGAATATATACACTGGAATGTCACGTTATGTCCATCCTTGTTTTAACTGTTTTATAAATAAAAAACTTTAAAAAAAAAAGATTCCTCCCAGAAAATAGAACATTGTCAGTCTGGGATTTCCCTCCCTTTATAGTTCATGTTCTAAACAGAAATGTGTTTCTCTTCCTTTAGCTAGACATCGGTTCATTTTGCTGGGGACCATCCCTCTTGTCCTGTTGCTGTTTGTGGCAATCCTCCTCTGGAGACGTAAGTGAACTGGAAATACCCTGTGAACAGGAGCCAGGACCCTCTCCCCACAAAAAACCTTCCCATAAAGACTCAAAGGCTCTTTTCTCCAAAAGGCAATTGGACTTTCTTGTATGTTTGGTTTTTTTTTCTATGAGAACGTTTCGCTTCTCATAGAAAAACCAAATGCACAGGTACAGGGTAGGTGGTACTTTGCTCAGCAGCAGTAACTCTGAGAGGGATCTCGGAGTCCTAGTAGACAATCCCTTAAATATGAGCTAGCCGTGTGCTGCAGCTGCCAAAAAAAGCCAGCACAGTGCTAGGCTGCATTAACAAGAGGGATAGAATCGAGATCGCATGAAGTGTTAATACCATTTTACAGTGCCTTGGTGAGGCCACACTTGGAATACTGCATCCAATTTTGGTCACCACGATGTAAAAACTGGGTGCAGTATTCCAAGTGTGGCCTTACCAAGGCATTGTAAAGTGGTATTAATACTTCACGTGATCTTGATCCCTCTGTTAATGCAGCCTAGCACTGTGTTGGCTTTTTTTGGCAGCTGCAGCACACTGCTGGTTCATATTTAAATGATTGTCCACTAGGACTCCGAGACCCCTCTCACAGTTACTACTATTGAGCAAGGTACCCCCTATACTATACCTGTACATTTGGTTTCACAGTCTTCACCTGCCTGTCTGGAATTTAGATCCAAGTTTCCTGTCAGTTAAACCAGACAGGAAACTTGTTGAGTCAGACGGTACAAATTTCTCCAACGTCCGCTTTTAACTGTTTGATCCATTAGGGCGCATCTCCTTCTGAAGTTTCTTTTTCTGACTTTAAACCACTTTGGGCTCCTCCCTCCTTCTGCGTTTATTCAGAAACAATTCTTCGCCTGATCTGCCAAGGTCATCCATTACACATTTATTTGCACAACCTTAATAAGGAAATTATTGTTCAGAAGGTTAAGAAAAAAACACCCAGGTGGTTTTCCTCCCTGTGAGACACGCCCCCCCCCCCATTATCTAAGCCGTCCTTCCCTTTTATATTCCCTCCAACAAGGGCAGTTTTTACAACAAAGGATATTGTGATTTTTTTCATCCCAGGAAACCACCCTCCTTCCCCCAAATCTGTCAGTTAATCGGATCCCCTGGCATTCTTCCCGTCACAGCTGCCCAGAGTGTATAAAAATCCTCATTTCTCCTTCGTTCAAGGTTTTTCTTCGCACAGAGTGGATTAAAAAGCCATTGAATAAAGAGCTGGCAGTTTCTCCTGGGTGCTCAGCTTCCCACTTCAACGTTTTTGATAACAAAGCAAATATGTATTTTTTAAATATTTTTGTATTTTTTTTTCTAATTTTATACCTCTTTGGCTTTTATAATAAAAATTTGTAAGGGCAAAAATTGTGAAGTCGTACTAACAACTGGTGTCTTCTAATAATGCTTGAAATCAAGAAATGGAGGCAAGGATGATCTTATATATGCTGCCTTAGAAATGTCCACCGGTATAGGGTTTCCTGCCTGAGCAGCGGGTTAGATTAGAAGACCTCCAAGATCCTTTCCAACTATTCTATTCCATTCCATTCCATTCTATTCTATTCTATTCTATTCCACTCCACTCCACTCCACTCCACTCCACTCCACTCCATTCTCTAAGAAATGGTAGGTGACAGGCTCAGCATGGAGACACACACCTTCTCTTGCGGGTGGGCCTATGTGAACCCACCAG